TAATAAAATAATACTCGGGTGACATGGATGATTTGTCAAAACCTAAATATTGGCTGTGAGATTTAAATACTTAAAATCATTATTTGTTTTGGAATTAAATATAATATTCTTTTAATTATATTTTATTATTTAAATTATTAAATTGCCGTGTAGGATGGGATTAAGGTTATGGGAGTTTCTTTAAAAAGAAATTGTAGATTGGACTAGATAAAATTATTATTTAATCATTGATAATGGTTATATATATATATATATTATAGTATATCAAGGTTAAAACTTTATTAGGTTTGCTTTTGATCAGAGATGATCTATTTATTGGTTTTCAGAGGTCTGGTAGAGAGAACTTACTCGTAGGGTTTAACCCGCGATTTATTTTTCAGGTTATTAGAAGTTCAAGTCTCAAGGTTGAGGATCCGCAGCTGGAGGACTTATCCACTCTTTCGCTTTATTTTAAAGTAGGATATTATTATCTTTTCATTTGACATTAGTAATTAATAGTGAACTTTTGGTTAATAGATTTTGGTTAAGGGGTCCTTGGGTTACAGGATTCCCGAGTTGTAAATGTTGAAGAATTATTAATGGATTTATTATTTATTAGTTTTCTTCAGCGTATTAATTAATCTTTATTCCATTTTGTAATCTGTGCTTGTTAAATACTTTCATTGTTTTGATATCCCCTGATTTTGTGCGCGGACTTGATCAACCCGTGTTCCGAAATTAGGGGGTATCACAGCAATAATTTTTCTAATTTTAAAAATATATTTATTTTCCATAGCAGCTTCTTAGAGGGTGTGGTAGGGCCACTAGAGAGGCGCTATGCAGTAATTAATAATAGAGTTAATTACAATAACACTGAGGTTTGTCATAATAACAGCCATATACAAGTTAGTCTCTTTTTGAACAATGAGACCTCCTCAGGTTTGATAAAGTTAACAAAGACACCCTGCCATCTTTGACACAAGCTAAAAAGACTTTAATAACCTTTCACTTTTTAACTAACCCATTGAAATTATAAAATTACCTTTTTAGCCTTTATAATCATTTCAATGGATCAATTTAGTCCTCACACCACCACCAAAACTAAGAAGCCCTCCTATGCAATCCTAGCCACACATATAAGAAAATATGTCGAGTAAGATTACACGCCTTCTATCTTCTCTTTCCTCCCAACTTTCTCTTTATACACTGTCATTGGGTTCTAGACTCTAATTCAGCTCTGCGATCATGGATTCTCGATCGGAATCTCTGTTCATATCCCTGTCGTTAATGACACAGCCTTCTATCATCTCTATCCTTAAAGAACCCTTCAAGCAGCTCCTCCTCAGTCACCGCCCCGACTACCTTTTCACGGACACATTCCACCATTGGTCTGGTGGTATCCTGACATTATTGACGCCATAGGCGTTCCTTGAATCATCTTTAACGGCAATTATTGCTTCGTTCTTGTTTGTGAAGGCGAAGGTCGGGTTGTTGGCGGCGGCGGTGAACACCCAAATTGAGGCGTAGATGCTAATGGAAGATCACGAGGTTGTCGTCGCTAAAAGATCCGGTGAGTCAAAGAACGAGATGCAGTCGTTGACGACGAATTGAGAGTTCGTCAGAGAATCTAGGATAAAACCTAAGTATGGCAATTTGGACAGTGAAATCTGACCCACCAATCCTTTCCGATGCCGTCCGAGCACTGGCTGCAACAACTCCAACAGCTGCTTATCCTGCAACACCGGCAGCCGCCTCGAGTGCAATGGCCTCGGCTGCGCCACCCTCACCCATACCACAAGTGCATCAAGTAACCAAATAATTTTTTCTCTTTCTTCCCAACTTCTCTCTGTTCTCTCCATCCGCCCAAAGCACCGATCTCACACAAAGGGAAATTTGGTCTTTAAATAGTTTTGATATTTTATCATTAAAAGTAATAAAATATTAAAGGACAATTTTGACTTTTCATAACCTTTTAGGGGTTGTTTGGATGCAATTTCTGACAAGAGGTGTCATTGTTCAGAAAACCTCAAACTTGTATATAATTGTCAATATGACAAATTTCAGGGGTATTACTGTAATTAACCCTTAATAATATTTTCCTAGCAGGTGGGTTGGCATTGGCATTGACTTTGTTTCACTTTGTCTTCTTCAATTCAGAGGTTCATTCAGCACTACACAACTTGCCTTCAATTCTCTTCCTGACTTGGCTTCTCCATCTGCGAGTGCTTTTGCAATCTCATCAAAATATATTCTTCAAATCTCTACCCAGGTATTTATGCGCTCACAATTCCTAATTTGTAGCTTCGCTTTTCCATTTTTATTTATTTATTTATTTATTTTATTTTTACCCTTTTTAGATTGTTTTTCATTTTCTGTAAATTGTTTTCAACTTCTGTGTATGTTTCATGCTTGCACAATCAGAAAGTGCCTATTCTAGTTGTTGATTTTATTTATTTTATGCTTATTTAATATTTTTTTAGTTTAAATAATTTTGCTGCAGCTATGTTATTAAGGAGTGTGTTTTTTGCTTTTTTCTTGTAATTTACTTTAATGTGTTCGGCAGTATGTAATTAGAATTTTGAAATTGAAAGTGATAGAATTTAAGAAAAATAATTAAAAAAATTGAATCAAATTTTTCTTAAATTTTATCAATTTCAATTCCAATTGCAATTGCAATTCCAATTCCAATTGCAATTGCAATTCCAATTCCAATTACAATTGCAATTCCAATTCCAAAACTCAAATTCTATGTAGCAAAAGTGATTGGTATGAAATACGTGAGAAGGAAATTTTTTAATAAAATTCCTGCAATTGACTTTTTTCTCCCCAAACTTTTCCGCTAAAATTTATTTTCGTTTTGTATTGGATTTCAAACAACGGAAACCAATAACTATGCATGCGAACGACAACTCAATTGTTTTTTTTTACTTCTGTGCTCTAAAGAATGGTTTTTTGGGAAAAAAATATATATAGCAGTGCGTCCCTTGATACTTGTATAGAGACGTTAGTCTGATCTCTTTTAATATAATGACTAGAAAAGAGTTCCAATTAACGAGGACTTCATTTCCAATAATAGTAGTTTGTAGAGCCTGAATTAACTTGAAAATTTCATCATTTTTTTATATATAATATTATTAATTAATTCTTTGGTTATTGATAGCATTATACTCAAATTCATATACTTACAAAATCATTGAAATATAAATCTAAAGTGGAGCCTAAAGGTCTGTTGGACTCTTTGGAATTGACCCTTTTGTTCGGTTCCTTAAATGAGAATATAATTGGAATTCATTCTCAATTCTATTTGCCTCAATTACTTGGTGGAAATTCTCTCGTAGGATTCCGAGAAGATTAAGGCGCAATACTCCCCCTCAAGTTAAAGTATGAATATTAATTATGCCCAACTTGCAAAGAAAACGTTGAAAATGTTCACTTACTAACGGCTTCGTAAAGACATCAGTATCAGATAGATTATTTTGTTTGCATTCAGAGATACCCCGCTTGATTTCAAAAATCTTAGTACTATTAGGCCGAGAAAAAACCAAATTTCTTGAGCAGACTCGGAATAAATAATACTCGTAGCAAGTTCTAACACCATCGGGTGAAGTATCTAGGAGATTACCATATCATTCACTCGAATCCAATGCTCATAGGTTGAAGAAGATGGGTCTGGCATAGAAAAATTATTACCATATCATTCACTAATGGTTCTGATATTTTAGATCAAAATAAAAATAAAATATTAAATGGTAAAGTAGACATTTAATCCCTTTTAAGGCTCTGTTTGGCTTCATTATAATATATATTTATAAATGATTATATATTTACACACACACACACACACACACACATATATATATATATATATATTATCTAATATTTTAATTCAAAAGCATAAATATTAGGCAGTTTTTAATCCAGGCCTAAAAGCGCTATGTTTGGAGGCAAAGATAATATAAATATTTTAATTTCAAATGAATGAGATTTATCAAACAGACGAATTTGAATTGTATTAGAATTATAGTTTAATTCTATACAAATTTTAAAGATGAAACCAAACAACATATTTAGAATTGAATTTATAAAATTTTAATTCCATAGAATTAAATTTTCAATTCAATTCCAATTTAATTCTAATTCTTACCAACTGAGAATTAAAATTCCAATTCAATTCTTCTAATTCTAACCAACCGCACCCTAAATATAATATTTAAAGTTGTTAGATTGTGATGGTATCATTGTGGCATAATCTTCTCAGGGGGACTACCATGCCCCAGGAACTTGGAAATAGCTTCCTTTAAATAATTTTTATCATTTCTTTTAATATTTTTAATACTTTCCGAGATGCAAAAGGACCAAGAAATCACATCTATGATCATCAAATTTGAGCGATTTTCAGAATACATGAACTATAACATGAAACCCATTTTATTGATATCTTTAAAAATTGTCTCCTACGAGCACGCGCCATAAATAAGAATGGTTTTTAAGCCTTGGCAGGGGACTTAAAATGTGTATAACAAATATTTTGTGATTTTCTTTGTAATAAAAAATTGTCATTTGGAAGTTAAAAAGGATATAGAAACGAAGAATAGAGTAAAAGGAAGTGGTGAGCTTTTACATAATTTTCACCAGTAAAGTGTTTATTCTAATAATTTATTAAAAGAATCTTCGTATACATAAGATAAACGATTGATATACCAAGTAATATGTAGGAGTTCAAAACTCCGAGAGCTGAGAGCTTAGAGCCGAGAGGGATTATCTTCCACTATTTTTTTATAGCCGAAGGTAGTGGTAAACATGCTATGTTTTTTGTTTAAGAGAAAAACTTGCCAAAACTTGTATGTATATTCAGGTTTTTCTTTTTTTGGACTAATTACTCTTTCATCTATAAATTGAAGTGAGATTAGCATAATTTATCATTAGGCGATGAAGTTAATGGCAATTAATCTCTACTGAAGTTCTCTTGCTTGTTGTATTTGAGTATATTATGATGCCCTCTTGGTTTTGGCAGTGGATATGTTGAGGAAAGTTGTGGAACAGCTGAGTAATTTCAGCAGCCTTGATGATGAGATGCAAACTCTCAGAAGCAAAATAGGATCTTTGAGCTGCCGAGCAGATGATGTAACTGCAATGCTGCAAAATGCAGAGTTACGAACAGGAAAGAAACGAAAGAGAGGTCAAGAATTGGTGGGAGAACGTGCAAAATAAGAAAATTGAGTTTCAAAGCTTTGAACAAGATGTACAAGGAAACCGTGGTTGTCAAAAACTGCAGTTCGGAAAACGTGCAGTGAAAATGATCAGTGAAGTGGTAGAACTGGTTGAGCAAGGTAAATTTCCTGAGGGGCTGTTACTTAATGTGCATGACACCAATGCAGTGCCATTGTTGACCACAAAATTAATAGGTCAGGAATTTAAACAGAATTTGGAAAAAGTTTGGAATTGTTTGATGAACGATGATATCAAGCACATTGGAATTTATGGAATGGGAGGATCGGGGAAAACAACCTTGGCCACCAACATCAATAATTTACTTTTACAAAGATCTGCAACTTCTGGCATCAAAGTTTATTGGCTCACTGTGTCGCAAGATTGGAGCATTGATAAATTGCAATACGACATTGTTGAATTGCTAAAGTTGAATCTCACCAAGGAGAAGGAAAGAAATAAAAGGGCAGCCATAATCTCACAAGCATTGACAAGAAGGAAGAAATCTATATTCATCTTGAACGATGTGTGGAAACACTCTAGTCTTGAGGAGATAGGAATTTCTTGTAGAGTGAGTGCATTGAAGTTGATTTTTACTACTCGCTTGTTGAACGTATGTCGTAAGATGGGATGCCAGGAAATAATCCATGTAGGACCTCTTTTTGAGGATGAAGCATGGAATTTATTCCTAGAGAAACTTGTGCCTGAAGGAGGTGAAATTCCATGGCAAAAGAATCCAGAAATAAAAGAGACTACAATGTCCATGGCAAAAAGATGTTGCAGGTTGCCAATTGCAATTATTACGGTGACCAGAAGCATGATGGGGGAGAATGACATTCATGAGTGGAGGAATGCATTACGAGAATTGAAAGAATTTATCACCAAGCAGGGAGATATGGAAGATGATGTATTCTCCAAATTAAAATTTAGCTACACGCGACTGAAGAATGAAAAGTTGAAAGATTGTTTCTTGTATTGTGCACTTTATCCTGAAGACCGTAGAATAAGAAGAGATGAATTGATACCCAAATTCATTGTGGAGGGACTGGTAGATAGAATGAAGACAAGGCAAGCATAATTCGACAAGGGTCATACTATGCTAAATGAACTTGCGAACGCATGCTTACTGGAAAGTTGTGAAGAGGACAATCGCCCTGTGTGAAGATGCATGATTTGATGAGAGAGATGGCATTGGAGATTGCAGGTCGTCGGTTGATAGTAAAGGCTGGTTTTGGTTGTGAGAAAATACCAGAAGAGCATGAATGGACAGAAGAACTGAAAAGAATTTCCTTGATAGAAACTTCCATAAATGAAATTCCACAAGGCATGTCACTAAGGTGTCCTGGATTATCAACATTAATATTGCAAGGTAGTGAGATTTTAAAATGTATTCCTCGCAGTTTTTTTGAGCATATAAGTGCCCTCCGTGTTCTCGATTTATCTTCTACTGGAATTGTGGAATTGCCGAGTACTATATAAGACTAGGAGAATCTCACAGCATTATTTCTTAACTCGTGTGAAGAACTCAGAATTTTGCCTCCTTTAGGGAAGCTTAAGGCATTACAGTTGTTGGATCTCTGTTATACTTCAATTGAAGAAGAAGTACCGCAAGGTATGGAAATGTTGGTCAATCTCAAATGCCTATATATGGATGCATAGGTCTGGAGTCGTTTCTATGTGGGATATTATCCAAACTCTCCAGTCTCCAAGATATTCGATTTGGTTCAATGAAGATACGAGTAGAAGAATTGGAGAGGTTGGGGCAGCTGGAAAAATTAGAAGGGTGCCTGGACAGTATGTCTGATTTTAATCGATATGTTAATTCCGATCACTACAGGTAGTTGAACACTTGTCGTTTTCGTGTAAGCTTATATATAAATGAAGAATATGCATGGGAATATGAAAAAGAAGCGAAGATTGGAAATTGTTGTTGTAACGACCCGAACCCGAGGGTCCGAATCGCTAACCGAGTTCTTACCAGAACCCGAGGTCAACTAAAAACGTTACCGTCCTTTCCTGTATCAATACATAATATACGTTTCATCCCAGGGTTTATAAATAATAATAATAATAATAATAATAATAATAATAAAATGAGATCATTGTTACAAAATATGTCAAACAGTCCACTAACCCATCAAAGCCTGTGGAGGAACGTCGTCCGCCACTTCCTTCCCGTGTCTTGAAAAATGTTAAAATGATAGGGTGAGCTAAACGCTTAGTAAGAAGTGTCTAAGACACACCTCTTATGACCCGGTGAATCCACATAGAGAATAGAAAGCAAGAGAACGAGATCATATCTCGGGAGTCAAGTAAAACAACTGTATCATCAATAAATGTACATATCTCAACCAATTACCAAATGCACCACGTACAATGATATGCCATGTCATGCAATGTCACTCCCCGTTTCCGAAACCATACCGTTTCAACTTTCAAATTATTAGTGTAATCCGACCCACGGCACCTCCAAGGCGTCACGAAAGGGGGATTAGCTAACCATCCACGACCACAAGGCACCTCCAAGGCATCGCATCCGGCCTGGTTAGCTCAACCACACTAGGGCCACTCCCTAGTCCCATCTCTAGACCACACTAACACCACGGACAACTAGGCGTCTCCTAGGCATCCGGGTTTTACAAACACTTTTCAAAAACATTTCCCCAAAATAATTTCATTGGTTTTTAAAAAAAATACTTATCCCCTTTTTCTTTCTCAATGGATGCATAAATGCTTCATGATTCCAAATTGTCAAATTCAACAACTATATTCCATACATTTTACCCATATCATAACCACAACTTGTAAAAGAATATTTTAAACATTTATTTCTACAATTATGACATTAAATTTCCATAACAATTGAAATACATAAAGTAAACAACTTATCATTTCTAAGTATGCTTCTTCACTACAAGGATGTAACTAAATTTGCAAACTCATTTATCACATAGCATACATCCACCACTTTACAAATAATCAACCATAATCACATAGTCAAAATAATTGAAATTAAACATGCTTACAGTCAATTTAAGAAGGAAAATTCACATAGAACATAAGAAATTGTGAATTAGAGTACTCCTACCTCAAAAGTAGCCAAAATACATCCCCGGCCGGAAAAGTCAATGCCGGCAACCGCAGTCAATGCCGGTCAACGAAAGTCAATGCCGGTCAACGGCTGCGGAACAGAAATTGTTTGGTGGGAACGTAGCTGTCGACGAGGAGATTCTACTGTTCAAAAGGGTCAGCTCCGAAATCTGACTCTAAGTGGCCCAAAACCCCATCCGAAGCCTTAGATCCAAAAATTTCAAAAATTCATAAAATAATCACTGCTCTTCTGAAAAATAAACTCTTTAACTATGTAATAGAGAACGATGAGAGGAACGTTTTTCGTTAAGTAACCAAGACTGGAAACCTGACCGATTGGCCAAAAAATGGAGGAAAAATTGAAGCCATCAAAAAAATATATATATATATATATATAGGGAGAGAGTGACGACGCTGGGAGAGAGGAAGAGAATGATAGTTGGGCAAATGGCTTTATGGCCATTAAAGTGACTAATTAGTGGTGGGTCTCACAACATAAAATAATATCTTTAATATATATATATATATATAGATAAGGCGGTGTATAACCGACCAAGTATATATATATATATATAACAGAGTAAATTAATTAAGGCGGTATATAACCGACCAAGATATATAACAAGATAGATAATTGAATATTAAACTGATATTAAAATGAGAAAGTAATTACAACAAAAGGTTACTGAAATAAACTTACAAATTAATGTAACTGATAGAGGTCTGAAGAATACAACATATTGGTGAAGTATTACACTCAGAAAGGGTAAATAAACAAGAACTAAATATTATAATTGGAACTGGATAGGGAAGCCTGAATACTCTCTCTCAAAGTCTGGAAGAGTAGCCTGAATGAAGCCTGAAGAACAATGGGAATGACCACTGCATTAATAGGTGAGGCTCGAGACATCTGAGGCGCAATTCCCGGCTTTTAAAAAGTAACTTTTGACTTTTCGGATTATCTGTAACTGTTGATGAATAGTGAGTTACTGTTCTTGTCGTTTGTGCCGACGGTTACTGTAGATGAATAGTATTTTGTCGGGAGCACTGTTGAAATAGTGATTCTACCGACAGTTACTGTGGCAGTAGTGATTTTACCCTGTTACTGTAGCAATGTTGATTTTTCCTGAAAATCCTTAGTAAGGATCATCATAGGGATTTTGACTATGTTAGAATATTGAGTTATCATATAAATAAACTGGGTGACTAGACTCAACTTCAAAAGATGCATCATCAACTTCTTTCTCTTCTTGGGATAGCTCTTGGAGGCGATCAGTTAAGGAAGCAGCCATCTTCTTGAGCTCTTCAATCTCTGATTTGGGAGTTTTCTTGGATTTGGAGGTAGTTGCAGAAGAGGTCTGTTTGTGTTGGGTTACTTGTTGTGGTTGTGAAACCGCTGTGACTGGTGTTGGTAACTGCTGGGGAAATTCTCCCTTAATGTAACCAATGATTCTGTCAATTTGGAATGCATCCCACCATTTAACATAGTGACGACAGATAACTAGTGTGCCTTGGATATCATATTGCCATTTGAAAATCCAAGGAACTTTGTATTTACAGAAGAACAGGAAAAGAATAGGGAACTGAGAGTTGTGTTTACTAACTTTTTAAATAGTGTGGAAATATTTGATTTGGTTGGCAAGAGTTAGGGGCAAGATTTCTGGAATGGAGCTATACTGAGACCACCATTTTATGAACCAGGTAAAGATGGGAGATTTGTAATTGAATTGATTATCAAAATTGAGAAACCAGGAATGAGTGAAGGACTCATTTTGGTGAAGTAGAATGATGAACCAGGCATTCATGTAGTCATGGTAATTAAATACATAATCATGGTCGGGCAATGGTTTGCATAAAGCAGGGTGACTATCCCATTCATCTAAGGACATGATTTTTTGTATATAGAGAGAATGGTAAAGAACCTTTGTCTTATCAATTTTATCAAAAAATTTGTTAATACGGATGGACTTTGTGGAATACAGAATATTTTTGTAAAATTGGAGTGACTTGAAGGGTTGACTGGAGAGGTAATGAAGATTAGGAGGAAAATAAGACCGTGCTAGTTCAATGGGGTCCTGTATGTGACTAAGAGAGGGCCTAATGTAGAATAAGGGTTGAACTGGTTTTTCAATATAGTTACTTGGTGATTTGGTAGTATTTCTTGGCACAGAGCGTCTAGTAGTATCTTGGAAAGGATCAGGTGCAGGATCAACTAGAGCGGACTTGAAAGAGGGTAACTAAGAATTAAGTGGTTGAAATCTGTTTGTGACAACTAGAGCAGAGGACTGTTGTAACTGGGATTGTGATCTGGTGACTGGGGCTTTACTTGAGCAAATATCAAATGGTTTAACTAGCTGGGGCCTCTGGGGAGGCTGTCGGTCTGCCATCAGATTTCTGCAAGAATTCTCTGGTAAGAAAATCTGGAATAGAATTGCTACTTCCTTTGATATATTCTATATCAAAATCGAATATACTTAATATAACTTGTCACCGGGGAAAAATCTGTTTAGAAGGAATATTTTGAACATCTTTTTCTAAAACATATTTTGCACTTTGACAATCAACTCTGAGTAAAAACTTTTGATTCAAACTATCATCTTGAAATTTACTAATACATAAAACAATAGATAAAATTTGTTTCTTAATGGTACTATAGTTACTTTGTGCTTTTGTCCAAACACCAGAATGGAATTGAACTAATTGTTCAGGTATATTTGGACTGACTCGTTGTTTGAGGATGCCACCATGGCCAATGTCAGAGGCATCAGTTCCAATTATTTTGAAAGAATCAATAGTAGGAATGCCAAGACAAGGCAATGACTTGACATATCGCTTAATGGATTTAACGATATCAGTATGGACAGAGGTCCATGGAGGAGGGTTACTCTGCAGACGTTCAAATAGGGGCTTACATTGTTTGCGAAGATCTTTGTAAAAATCAGCAATGTAATTTAGAGACACTAAGAATCGATGTAATTGTGACTTCTCTAGAATCTGATCTGGGAATTTATCAGCAAGTTGAAGAGACCTATCAATAGGACGAATTTGGCCTTGATAGATATGGTAACCAAGAAACCTGATATTGGTTTGGAATAACTTAATTTTTGTAGCAGAAGCAACAAGTCCATTTTTTTGAATTGTTGCTAGAAACGATTTCAAATGTTTCCAGTGTTCATCAATGGACTTAGAATAGATAAGAACATCATCAATATAAACAATGGAAAAGTGACTATAGGGCTTGAAAATATCATTCATAATATTTTGGAATTCACTAGGAGCATTTTTTAATCCAAAGGGCATTACTTTCCTTTCATAATGACCAAAGGGAGTAGTGAAGGCAGTTTTGTATCGATCTCTCTTGCGGAGGCGAATCTGCCAAAAGTCTGATTTCATATCAAATTTGGAAAAAATAACTGCTTGACTAAGGCGACTAATAAGATCTTTTTTATTGGGAATAGGATACCTAATCCATTCTAAGACTTTATTTAGGGGTTTGAAGTTAATGACTAGACGGGGAACGCCTCTTTCTAGTTCAGAGTTTTTTTGAACATAAAAAGCTGGACATGACCAAGGTGACTTGCTTTTTTTAATAATCTTCTTATGTAGAAGATCATTAATTTCCTTGTTGCAAAATTCCATGACTTCAGGACTCATTTGAATTGGTCTGGCTTTAGTAGGAATATGCCTTCTCTTGAATCCTTTAATATATGGTAACTTCACAGAATGTCTTTTTTTGTGCCAAAAAGCAGTGCGTAGATTAGAACAAACTGTATTTTTAATTTGTTGTTCAAAATCTTGAATTTTTGTTTGGAGAACTGATTCAGTTAACTGAATATCAATTCTTTTGTAAGTAACTTCTTCCTC